AACGGTGTTCGACCTCGACCATTATTGACATCTCGACCAAGGCTCTCGTCGACTCTTCGGCTATGAGTCTTGTTGCTTCCCGGTCCACCTCGACTAACGACGACTCGAGAATTCTTTCTTTAGTGTTATCTTATCTTAAATATTCTATGGCAGATTTTGACCCATACAAGTTAATAAGTCAAATTGCGAGTGATCATTGATAAGAGAGTGCCAAGATCGAGAACTAGATAGAAGGTTAGTATGTAACCGAGCGTATCTCTTGTTCATGTCAGTAGTATTAGTATTAGTCTCATATTTTCTTATATGCATAATTCTATTACTATGTATTGGTTTTTTTTGCTTCATTTTTTTTTATCAACTTATCTTGTTGTTGCTACGATTTTTTTTCCATCTTTTCTTGAACCGAGGGTCTATTGGAACATGCTCTCTACCTTTACAAAATAAGGATAAGGGATATATATACATATTACCCGTCTCAAATCTCACTTTATGAGATTATACTGAATTATTTATTGTTGATGTTGTTGTAGTTAATAACTCAAATTGTGACTAGTGGTCGTCTTAAAACTTATTATTGATACAATTGGATATTTTGCTAAATTGTTATATGTCGTGTAATTATCGATTTTGAAGCAAATACTTGGAGCAGGTGTATTTTGGATTGTGTTTGTGAATAGTGAAGGAAGAAAAGTTGAAAGGTTATAGTGTTTTACTGAGATTAAAACTTAAAAAGGCTGCAACTCCAATTCCTACTAGTAAAAAAAGTACTCTTTTAACTGTAAAAATATTTACTAGTAGATGTTATGTTTTTTTCATTATAAGCTTTTCCACCTTTTTTCGTTTTTTTGGTATGCTTCGCTCCATTTAAAGTTGAAGTCATATCAAGTGAAGTCGTTTATAAAAAAGTGAAATATTTATGGTCACATTAGTTAGTATTTTATGAGTTATTCGTCAAATTGATTTGTTTTTGTTGTGGTGTTTACTGTTTAGCCTGTTAATGTGAAATTACATTAAAAAGAAAGAAAAACAGAGAATTGACCTCCAATTAAGTAGTAACTAAATATTAAGCGCTTCTGCATATCAGGTGTATTTTATAGTAATATTATCCATGTATTATCGAATAATTTCATTTTATACTGTAGTTATCTGTATAGTATCCGTATACATAGCTAAGATTGGTTGATTACTTTATTTTATGTATCAATTATGGGAAGACTAACATGATTATGATAAGAAAAATCCAGACTCGGTTACTTTAAGATATACTTCCTCTATTCACGTTTACTTGTCTACTATATTAAAAAATATTTTTATTTTTAGTTGTCCATTATACTAAATTAAGAGAGAGATTTCTTGTTTTACACTTATTATTAACTACTCATTTGCTAAATTATTTTTCAAGATTTATAAAAATACTATCATTATTATGAGTAAAATTGTAAAATATATAACTTTATTTATTTGTTCATAAAAGGAATCGAAGTTAAAAATGAATAACTAAAAATGAACGGAATGAGTAAAAAAATTGATAATTCAATGACACCTCGAGGAGTACAGTATAAGTAAATTCCAATTTTCTGCCCCCTCGTCTTTCTTTTAAAAATAAATTAAAAAAAAATAAAAGGTGACACCTGTTGGTATTTTCGAAGACGACAGAAAAATCTTTGCTGATTCCGAGATACACCAAGTAATTGCAACAATTAATTCGATGTAATTTCGCATCAATTAATTAACACATGCGGTTTCTTTACCTTTATTTATTCGCATTCCGTGTTGATATCAATTCAAGCAATGAATTTTAGCACCATAACTATCATTATTATGTGATATATATGTGCATGCAAAATATAAATTTTAAATATACTGATTTGATGTAAATATTAAGTAGGAATAAAATTTTACGAATGATTCTAGAAAAAAAAAAAAGGCTTTGAAGAAACTACAGCTCTATTTTTAAAACCAAAAGCAACTCAAATAACAAGATTTTACAAAGATTGGTACGAATATTTTTCAAAACATTTTTCAAATATTTGAAAATTAAGTTCCAATGGGTTTTTATCATCTTGCAAATATTTGAAAATTAAGTTTTCAAAGACTTCCAAGTTCCAAGCGAACACAGTTTTGCGAATTTTTTGTTTCCAGTTTTTTTAAAGAAGTGGTCAAACAAACGCCACCATTCAAATTAATGGTATATCATTTGTTTAATTTATATAAAATCTTGAATTAATTTAAAACATTTGACATGATTTCATGTTTATATGTTTCGCATGACTTTCAAAATCAGACTAATAGCATGTTTGGTCAAGCTGGAAAAATCAGCTTATTTTGAGAAGTATTTTTTTCAAAAGTACTTTTGAAAAAAATACTTTTAGAGAGAAACATTTTGTGTTTGGCTAATCACTCTGAAAAGCACTTTTGAACAATAATTTGTATTTGGCCAAGCTTTTCAAAGGACATGAATAGATTTATTTAATAGTTAATATTATAAGTAAATAAATAATCTCAAAAATTTGTTATTACAGACAATAATTAAATATTTTTATTTTATTTAAGTAAAATATGAAAATAAAATTAAAAATACTTTAATTCTTTTATATTAAAAATTATTTAACAAATATAAAAGTATTCACCCCTAAAGTCACTGTATATTAGAAAATTATCCTAAAAATAAGAAAAAATACTTATACATTAATATCCTAAGTATTAGATTTAACGGTTATTTTGATATATACTATATTTTGTTAAGAGTATTTTTGATAAGAAGAAAAGTCAAAACTGCTTCTGTTTCTGCTTTTGGGAAGAAGTACTTTTTTCTACTTTTTCCCAAAAGCACTTTTTCTCCCAAAAAAAGCTTGGCCAAACACCTTGAATTAAGAAAAAAAATGCTTTTGAAAAAAAAAATACTTTTGCCTTTGGAGAAGTTTGGCCAAACAGGTTATAAGCTATTCAAATCTTTAGAAACATTTAAACTACTTTATTAAGACTTTCTTCCACTATTACTAAATAAAATTTAATAAACACCATAAACTGAATATTAGTCAAATTCTATCATAAATAAATAAAACATAAGAAGTATAAATATTTCATAAAAACCCAATGAAAATAAAATTTAGTAAAGGAAATAATTTTAGTAGTAAATCTTTTTTTTCTTTTCCATGTACTAGTAAATCTACTTTCTTACCAAAAAGAAAGAAAAATAGACCTAGTCGAGATTTTCCCGACAAAATCTCAAAGTTCCTAAAGTTAGAACGGATTTAGTAATAAACAAAAGGATTGATAAAGTAAGAAAAATTTACACGATCAGTATAATTTAACTAATTATGGTAGATTATTACTCTTTTTCTAAGGTTGTCATATTTAACTTGATATGAAAAGTTACATACGATTGTCGGTCAAATTTCTCCAATAATATAAAAAATTTATACATTGTGAACACACAAAACTTAAACTCTAAGGGGACGTTTAATAGGATGTATTAGGGAAAATAATATATGTAACTTTTGATATTATTAATTTCTTTTTTTGTTAAAGTTTTTCAACCTATGTATAACTAATACATGTATTAATCATACATCATATTTAGAAGCTATGACATTAGCAATACCTTAATTTTTAATATATGGATAAGCATGTATAAAGACAAGATTGTCCTTTCAAAACTTTTTTCCATATTTTTCCAACACATGTGGAGCGTATTCTTTTAAACAAATATTTCTTTTTTAAAATTCTGCAATACATGTTATTTTTGATATACCAAAGTAAATCGTCAATAAAAAATAGGGTGAAAATTATTTACACCCCTTAACTTTAGTTTAAAAATCAAACNTTTGCCCTTGTTATTTTTCAATTTCATCCTCTATGTGTAATACTCTTTTTTATTTTACATGCTATTTTTAATGATTTTTCCTATAATTTATATGATATTATACCTTATTATATATTATAATATAAATTTATTCATACTATAAATAGAATACTTTTTATTATTTTGTCACATTTGATCGGCCTTCCCCATACCAGAACTAAAAGGACATACCAGCTCCCAAGGGATTATTTCATATTCCTTTATAATATAATGCGCATTAAGTATATATTTAAGTTATAATTTCTTAGTGATAAATAGATAATTCTTTAGGAGAGTATTATAAAATCTGCCTTTACTTTTAATAATTATAAAATTTTATATTATTTGCATTTAGGATATGTTTATAAGGTTCTCACTATATTTTATTCTTGATTGTGTAAACAAATTTTTGAAATTTGATTGCTATGAATACAATGGTTGATGAAAGCAAATTATTTTATTTTAATTTTTATTTTGCTCATCCTTTTTATTATTCAACATCAAGGAATTATATGCTTGGATATCATTTTTTATTTTTTTTATTTTGAAAATAAAAGTTATCCATTACATAAGTTCATAGCATAGATATTAGAAAAAAAAAATATCATGATACTAAAAAGGTAAAAAATAAAAACCGTAAAGAGATAGATATTGATAATATAGAGGTTAAAATAGTCATTTTAAAAAGATGATTGAGAAATAAGGGGGAGAATGATAATTGTTTAAAATAAAGGGGGAATTCGATTTTTAAAGCAAAGTTTGGGGTGCAAATAATTTTCACCCATAAAAAATAATAATACTTATCAACATTACTAATCCCAACATTACTAAATACCCTAGCTAATATACTCTACCAATTGACTCCATAGGAAGAAAAAAAAAAAAATCCTTCCACTGGTTAATGATTGAAAGAGACACCTAAAGTCATTTAATGTTAAATATTCCACTCTCATGCCCTTAATTTATTACACCCAACTACTAATCTCTCCCCCTCACACCCACAATCTTGTTCTTATTCCAGCCAGTTAAACCGGTCACCAAAAATCTAGGAGCAAGCTTACAAAATTTAATTCAAAGCAATAATAAGAAAACATTAAAAAATTCATTATATTACTACTACTAAATAGGTTAATATTTGGACCTTATACTTGGATAGCAGTAATATCTAAATAGGTGTTGCTTTTATGAAGAAAGTTTTGGTTCCTTTTTTATCAGAAACCATGGAATTCCGTTAAGAATAGGTTATAACTTATAACTACAAATCACTCTGTATTTGGCTTTTCTCTCATTTTTGTAACAGCACAAAGTGAAAGACGCTTGGTTTCTTCGCGTGACTCAAACATCTAACTTTTTCTCCTCATTTTCTTTTATCTTTCTCTCTCTCATATATTGCGTGAAACTCACGGCTTATTTTGTTTGTTTTCATGTTTTTCTCTTTTGGAATTCTGTTTCATCTTTTTTGGGGTTGCAGAGTAGAAAGGGCACGTCATTTTCCAGAGAAGAAAACCAGAAAGCAGAACTTGTTATGTAAAATTCAGTTTGTTTGTTTTTTTGCTTTGAGAGTCGGCTATATTTTTCATTTGAATTGAAAGACAAGTCTCTCTAGTTTTTTCTTGGGTTTGTGTTTTCTTTAAGTTTAGTGGAACGAAAAATTGTACTTTAGATTTGTGGGTAACTATTCTGCTTACTAGATTTGTGGGTTTTGACTGAAAGGGAGAAAATCACGCCGGAGTCTTTGGTTCGCGGTGACCGGAAAGTGAAGGGAAAAGAAAGAGAAAAAATAAAAAAAGACGACTTTCTGTCTTCCTTTTTTCTTTAATTTTCCGTATAATAATTAGTTGTCTAAACGTCAAAAATTGGTTTCTAATTTATTTATTTATTTTTCACCTTGTATATTAGACCGAGTTATATTCGCCCCTTCTCATTCTCATACTAATACAATCCCGTCATTTTCTCTCTCTCCCTTTCTCCCATTTCTACTTTGTGTTTTTGTTTTTCTACTTCTCTGTTTCTTTTGGGTCTCCTCTGTTTCACAGAGTTTAGAGAGAGAAACAGTAAATTCCTATCTCTTTCTCTCTCTCAGTTTTTCTTGAATAATAATCATGTCAATGGACAAAAGCTCATTGCAATCAAACCTTGATTGCTTCTTGGAATGCACCACACCGTTAGTCCCTTCCCAATTTCTACCCCAGGTATTTTTTTTTTCGAATTCATTTCTGTTTATTAGAAATATGTAACATTTTTTAATTTAATAAATGTGATTAATGTTTTATTTGCAGAGTGAGATTAGGAATCTGAATAGGTTATGGCATCCTTGGGAAAGAGAGAAGGTTGAATATTTTACTTTGGCTGATCTTTGGAATTGTTATGATGAATGGAGTGCTTATGGGGCTGGAGTTCCTATTAAAATGGATACAGGCGAAACTTTAGTTCAATATTACGTGCCTTATCTTTCAGCTATTCAAATCTTTACGAGCAGGTCTTCTGTTAATTTTCTAAGGTAGAATTCTTTTTGGTTCTACATTTTACAGTATCTCAATTTGATCATCAATTTTGGGGGTCTTTTCTTGTCAAAAGGATTTCGTGTTTTTGGAAGTAACAACGCATTGGTTGCGTGCCAAGTTGAGTCGGTCAAAGTTTGTGATGGCAGCATAAATTCTGTTCTTTTGAAGCTAAATAGGCTAAATTAGTAGTATTAAAGATTAGTAGTTTTGTTTATGTTAGTAATTATGCGTTTCCCAAAAGTTAGATCATTCAAAGTTTGTTAACTGCATATTGTCAAAAGGATTTCGTGTTTTTGGAAGTAACAAAGCATTGGTTGCGTGCCAAGTTGAGTCGGTCAAAGTTTGTGATGGCAGCATAAATTCTGTTCTTTTGAAGCTAAATAGGCTAAATTAGTAGTATTAAAGATTAGTAGTTTTGTTTATGTTAGTAATTATGCGTTTCCCAAAAGTTAGATCATTCAAAGTTTGTTAACTGCATATTAGAGTAGCAACTTTGGTTCATAATTGTGGAGATAATGAAATTGTTCTACATTTTGATCTTCTTTTAGGGAAGAGACTGAGTCTGTTTGCGAGACGAGGGACTCGTTCAGTGATTCGTTCAGCGACGAGAGTGAAAGTGAAAAGCTATCAAGATGGGATGGTTGTTCCTCTGAGGAAGGAGATAGTCTTTGGCAAATGAATGATAGATGGGGCTATCTTTATTTTCAGTATTTTGAGAGATCTACTCCCTATGGAAGAGTCCCTTTGATGGACAAGGTTTCTTTTTGTCCCCTTTAGCTTCTATTCCCCTGCTCTTGAAAGTCTTCTTTTGATCCAAAATTTATACTGGTAGCTAGTGCTTTAGGAAATGTATGTGGTAGCAAGTTTAGTTGTATATTTCCAATTAGTTTTATCTCTTGTTTCCTTTGTTATCGACCCCTTTCTTTTTATGAACTTCATATTAGAAAGAAAAAAGGACTAACTGGGGTTTGTTTCTGTTAATAGGGATGATAGGAATAGTTCTTAGTTTGACTTTTAAGTACAAATTTACAGGCCTTATTATACTTTTTAGTACCCTTCTCCCTAAAATCATTGGTGATATATCTATTACTTTTGTTCTTTATTCTGTATTCTAGCCTAATCCGGACATTTATGTTTGACTTAATCACAGACCCATCTTTGTTTATGGAACTGATCAGACAAAATTAGAAGCATTTGTTCTTTCTTTATGCATTAGAGTTGTCTAATGATTCTTTATTTGAAAAGATATAGTATAAGATTCCATGTGAAACATGTGGTTTGAACTTTTTAGCATATATTGCTTTGTTTTATAAGTTTATTTGACTCAAAATTCTGATTCATTTTGCTCGCAGATTAGTGGCTTAGCTGAAAGATACCCTGGATTAATGTCGTTGAGAAGCGTAGATCTTTCACCAGCTAGTTGGATGTCAGTTGCTTGGTATGCCAACTCTCTCCCCCTGTGTGTCTTCGTCTCTCGGGGCTCTTATGATCATGGAACTGATGGTTTATTGGAGTAGATTTTATCAAGTTAATGAAAATTCAGACGCATAAAATAGTTTCAATTGGTTCTTGTTTCCCTGTAGTGCAACCAATTTCATACTACTTAAGTTGATCTTGCATCCTCTTGGTATTGCTCACCTGTTTGGTTGCAACCAGTAATAATGAGAAGGATTTTGTTACTAACCCTTTTTGACCTGAACATTACAGGTATCCAATATATCACATTCCTATGGGAAGAACCATTAAAGACTTGTCAGCATGCTTTCTCACATTCCACACCCTTTCTTCTTCTTTCCAAGGTATTGTTTGATCTGTCCTTTGGACATTGAATTTACCATTGCTTTTCCCTTTTTAATTGCTATTGTATGAGCGGACGACTTGATGACGTACAGAATGTTTTTACACTAATCTTTTGGTCGTCTCGTGCAGATATGGACCTTGAAGATGACATGGAGAATGGTAAACAGAAACGAAAGGAAGGAGAAAGTATCCCACTTCCACCTTTCGGTTTGGGCACTTACAAGATGCAGGGTGATGTGTGGCTTTCAGACAGGAATGGAAGGGACCAAGAGAGGCTGGCATCACTTTTTAGTGTGGCGGATTCTTGGCTAAAGCAGTTGGGTGTCCAGCACCATGACTTCAACTATTTCATGGGTATTCGTCGTGGCTAACTATTTCAAATGATGAACTGCACTTTAAACCCCGCCAATGGGGCTGATCACTGGAATCCCTTCTTGTAGGCTCTGAGGTGTTTTGGTTTGTCGCGTTGGTAGCATTAACAGCCTTAGTACTGAGGATATCTCTTATGTAAAGAAAGGCATTAGGCTTTTTTATGTGATCTTCTCCTTATCCCAAACTGAGGATGTTGTGACTTCTTTTTGTATAGAGGACTAATTGGTAGGACATGACTGTGATGACTCCTAGCACTTTGTGAGCAATTCTTGCACGCTTGTGCAAATTGCTCCATCTTTTGTATAAATTCTGAGGTGTCTTTTTGGTGTTTCTTTTGTGCTTTCCTTGTAATATTTTCATTTCATGTAAATAGTTGGATCTTTTTAAACAGTAAATTCCAGTACAAGTGGAGAAAAGATGATGGGTTCTTCTTCTGTTCACATTGAAAGACTAGCTGTTTGTTGGTTGTGGATGAGGTTGGTTTATGATTTTTATTAAAGGTCTCAGAAAGTCTAAAACATGAATAGAGGGTGGGTCCTATTTTGTTACACAAACAGCCACAGCAGTGGTGTCGACATTATGTCAGTGCCATACTAATGTGTGTTATTTTCTAAATTAGTAAGATTTCAGAAACCAGCACTAAATCTGTTGGTTCTGTTTAGTGTTTACTGGACTTTGTGTATGTAGTCCTCTTATCATACAACCAAAATTCTCTTTCATTTTTCCCCAGCTTTTTAGTCTTCCCTTCATTATATCTAAGAATGGTTAGAGCTTTTTACTGGGTGAATTGAATAAATGTTTGTCATTTTCTATTATTTAACAAATTAATCTATAGAAATAGATAACTTGCTGCTGAGGAGAAACTTTTACTCTAAATGAAAAGATGGGAAAAAGTCAAATAATATTTGGAACTTGGAAGATAGAATACATAATGCAATGTGCCTCATCTATATTGATGACTCTCACTCACACATGCGGATTAAGGATTTAAAATTTATGAGTTCTTATATACAAGTTAATATACAATAATAATTGAGTTCACGATTAAATATTTATTGATATATCATAAGTTTCTTAATAAATATGCAGAATTAGGATCAAAGTTACTGATTTCTCATTAACCCATGTGTTATACTCTAGCATGGCGTTTGTTCTCTCATGACTGTGTGCGCAAAAACGAGTGATGGGCTTGTAATACGAGAGTTATAATATCTAAGTTTCCGTATAATTTGGAGCATTAATTTCTTTTTAAAATTTAAATTTGCTTAACTAAAAATTACATATAAAAGTATTGTAAGTTACAATTATTTTCTACTTAAAAAGATTTAGAAAGTAGGGGTATTCGCTAAATTGCAGCCCAATTAAATAACAAAATTGTCACATAAAATCAAACAGACAAAAGTACCAAAAGAAAAGGATGTTTATGACTTCTTCTAGTGAAATTAAAATAAATGATTTATAAAAATATATCTTAAGATTTGACAATGTGGTTGGCAAAGATAAAAACAAAATGGATAACCAGCAATTTCCAACAAGTGTCCAACAAGATGCTAAATTTTCTTCCTTGTACACAATCCTTCATCATTAGTAATTAGGCCATTCAATTTTCCACGTCCATTGTACTGCTTCCAGTACATTATCTTAGATTATCTTAGCTAATTTCTCGAGATGACATTGAATAAAATATTAATTAATTGGTTAATAGTGGTCCAATTTTATGTAGATAACAATAAGCACAAGAAAGGTCCACCTGAAACCTTCTTCTAATACAACCGCCGGGTGTGGTAAAATGGTTGGGATTTTTTCATGGCCAAGCTTCTGAGAGGCCAAAACAATTTTTTTTTTTTTTTTATTAAAGCCAATATTTTGTTTTTGAAAATTTGATGTGTTTGGCCAGGACGTAAGAAGCTATGAATTTCAGCTTCTTCTAAGAAGTAGGAGCAGAAGCAAAAATTAATTTCTTAAAACATAAGTATCCTTATTATAAATTTATATTTTTCAAATTATCCTTCATTAATTTAACCTTTTTTGTCTTGTTTCTACCATTTATTTTTTCAAATTGGATTTCGTAATTTTATTTTTCTTCTTCTATTCTTCTTTGTAAAAGTCTCTCTAATATAAATAGATATCTTCTTTTATATAGGATTATGAAGCTGATTTTTAATTTTATCCTGAATGATCGTATTTTAATATATTTGAATCATCATGTAAACAATAAGTAATATTGGATAACAATATTATTGCTTTAGATAATTATATTATATTGATTAATTTTTTTACTACTATATATTTATATTTTATATTTTTTAATTAAATATAAATAAAAAAGTAATTATATTCTTTTATAACGAATATTTAAATATATTTTTCTTTTTTAAATAATACTAATTATAAACTGAATATTACTGTCTTTTATTGTAATTTCTCACTCAAAAGTACTAAGAGGTTGGTCAAACACAATTTGCTTATCAAATATATCAAAAAGCACTTCTCAAATGAATTGATCAAACACAAACTGTAATTTTTTAAAAGTACTTTTTTGAGAAGCACTTTTGAGCAAAAATACTTTTCAAGATAAATAATTTTGGACAGCTTGACTGAACGAACTCTTAGAAATGGAGAATTTCTTCATAGAGGATGCTTTTCGGTCTTATAGCCTGTTTGACCGAGCTTCTCCAAAGCCAAAAATATTTTTTTTCAAAAAAAAAGTGCTTTTTTTTTAAAAGTTGAAGTGTTTGGCCAAGCTTTTAGAAGGAAAAAAAGTACTTTTGAGTAGAAGTAGAAGCAGTTTTGGAGAAGCAGAAAAAAATAGCTTCTCTCAAAAAAGCACTTTTTAAAAAATACTTTTGAGAAAAATACACTTAGAAGCAGTTTTTAAAAGTTTGGTCAAACACTAATTGCTGTCCAGAAGTGTTTTTCAAATTAATTAACCAAACATAAAATGTTTCTCACCAAAAGTACTTTTGAGAAAAAATATTTTTAAAATAATCTGATTTTTGCAGCCAAACACACTATTAGTGAGTCTACGAAATATGAATCCGAATTAGTTAGACCAATGAATTTTGACATGGAATGAGTAAACGAAAAAGAGAACCCTCTTATAGTGGTTTACCGTACAATTCCACAAGCCATTCAAGCACTAGATATTAAACAGCTAGCTGAATTTGACATTTTCTTTTTCAAGGTAATGGGGCCAACTTATCATCAACTTTGGAAATGGTCCAATAGTAGGAAAAAAATAAAAACAAGATGATTTAACTATCTTATTTAGGAGTAGAAGATTTTGTTGATCTAAAAAGTGCAACCACTAACCATATGACAATAAGAGAAACTTTGAGTGCAACCACCAACAAACAACTTCTAGCTAAATACATGGGCCATTTTGCTTCTTTTTTATAGTCAATTGAGTCAAGAAGTCATGTCCACATTGGTTGTACATGGCACTTGTTCAAATTCAACTCATGTTGCAACAAACAACAAAGCAATTAATAAATTGTATGATCCACTTTGGGAACCAGTGAATGAATGCATTAAGAGCTGTTTACTTTTTCTAGTATGGAATTATGATGATCCAATCTATTGGAAGTGGTTTGTTTGATTTTAGTGCTTGATGATTGGGCAAGCTCAAACTTAGAGATAATTATATTTTTACCAATAAATAATAACAAATGTCACTTAAGAGTGTGGTGTCAATGGGAACATATGACCTTTGAGTTGTGGCACCACTATGAAATAACTACCTTACATTTTTCCACAAAAGGGTGATCTTTGGATGTGCTAAGGATTATATATAGCACATGAGGAGATTTGGATAGGAGAGATGCAAATGTAGTAAGTGTGGTAGGTTTCCAAATTGAAACTTAATTTTATATCATGTGTTAGGTGACAGGTTGTACAAGTTAAATTGAAGGCCGATCAAAGATTCAAGCGACTTGTTTAAGGGATTCAATCGGGCGAGATTATATATTTATTAACCATGACTAAGTGATAGAAATTTATGTGCAAACACATATCATATATTTAGAAATTTAATATGTAAACACTCCGTGTAAATAAGTTTTACCTTATTTTGATTGGTCTTATTACTGAAGGTCCATTTAAACAAGTAGAAGTCATGATTGCCTCTCTTCTAAAATGATAGATACAAATTCTTCGTAGAAGCTCAAGATAAGGTAAAGAACTGAGAGCTCTTGAGAACAAAACAGTCGAGATTTTAATTTACAAAGGTAAGCATCCAAATATATGTTCAAATTCTTTATGTTTGAACCTAAATCCTTTCTTCAAGGCGATTAAATCAAAAACTAATATTTGTAGCGATTGTTAAAAAAATTTAATGTTTGTGGCGATAGTTATAGTATACGTGAAGAATAATCAAGCTATCAAATCCTTTTGATCAAGTAAAACTTCATCAAATTCATGGTAAAACCATCAATTCCTTAAATTAAAGTATACAATCATTAAATTAAAGATAAAACTACCAATTCCCTGGATTTTACATTTCAAGTAAAACAATCAGATGATATACTTGTTGGCTCAAATGTCTTGTTGTGTTTTGGATTTTGGAAGAGTAGTTGGCTAACAGATGCCAATTTTTTTGGGCTACTGTTGGCACGGCTAATCCTGGGCTATTTTGGTGCCAATAGCTGCTATGGCTGATATATATATATATATATATATATATATATATATATATATATATATATATATATATATATATATAATACATTGATTATAAATGGTTACATACATTTATATATAAATTATACATATATTATACATCTATCGGCTATTTTTAGTTTAACCAGTTAGGTAGATAACTATTTGGGTTAATATGGCAAAAAGTTGCTAGAAATGTATTTCTAACAAAAAGTATAGTAAAGCAAAACAGAAAAATTTCAGGTAGACTGTGTTAAGAAAATGATTTGAAGCTCAAACTTCCAAGATTTTTAGATAAGGTGAAATAGAAAATTGAGTTTATGTTCTATGCAATGACTGTCTAAATTTTGAAGCTCAAACTTCTAAGATTTATAAATAATTTTTTTTTGGTAATTAGATAAAATTTTATAATAAGTATTACTTAATTGATATCCTGGTAAAATGGTAACTAACCTATTATTACAGATTGAAGTTGATTGTGTAAAGAAAACTCTCAGTGTAGAAACTAGTAGTAGTTCTCTTTTGATTACACATAGGAATGTTGCCTACATATGGGAAAAGGAAGTAGAAATGAAAGCTCGAAGAAACAAAAAATATGTTGAGAAACACTCTATGGTACATAGGATCAGTGGGAAATATGATGATATTTGTGTGAATAATTTTCTGAATTTCATTTAAGGAACAGGGTATGACTTGTTATGACACATACATTTGTAAGCCATAGGACAAGTCTCAGCTTCTTCAAGAGATGAACAAACAAAGCTAACCATAACTAATCTACAAGGTCTACAAGATCCACATGCATGTGAACAATCTGGCAACCTTGACCCTGCTATTTGCAATGTTTCTGCACCTCTTTTGTGCATTGTTGATCCCTTTCTTAATTCCCAGCTCATTTCTGTTCTCGCCATCGCCTTTTTTCTGCTAATTACTGGATTCATTGGGTGATTGTTCTGCTCTGCTAATTAGATAAAGAGGAAATTCAACATCATAAGCGCATTGTTTATGCCATCATGAAAAGCAATTTTCCCCACCTAATTGGGATTTAATTAACAGTTTGCTAGTGGGTGTCAGCCTAGGTAGAGTGAAGGGGGTTCGTCGGAAAATTACACTATGTAAATAGAGTAACAATGAGATCTTTTTTGGTTATATGCCAGCTGTTAAATCCCTTGACATGAAGAAAAATCAAGTATAGTAGTAAAAGAGGTTCAAAATTGCTTTTGGTCATAGGTTCAAATTCTAATTGCGAAATCCTAATTTTTTTTTGAACCCCTTATATAAATTTCTAGTTATGCCACTGAAGATCAAAATAGAGTTATACTTCCACGCACCAACATTTATTAACTTTCTTCTTACAATGTGACTTATAATAACATTTAACTCTATATAATAAGTCTAATGTGCTAATATAGAAAAAAGAGAATAAATGATCTACTTTAACATGCTAAAATGCACTAAAATCAATTTAATACTCTCTTAGTATTAATTAGTGTATATAAGTTAAATCTGTGAAGAAGTACATATCGTGGTGTAAAGAGAAAAAAGAAGTGAGCCATACGTGAGTGTAGGTTGCGAATATGTCTGGCATTGATGAAAACTGGGAGGAATACAATTAGAAGAATGAGAACAGTTGCGGTGAACACACAACTCTTCATTGGCTTTCAATTAAACTTCCTTCTTTTTCTTCTTAGATTTTGTGATCAATTTCTTAGCCAGTTGATGGTAGAAAACAAGTTTGGTTATGTTGAAAAAGGGAGAAGAAAAGGCATGGATATTTAAAAGGACAGCAAAAGGAGGTAGAATTGAAGCAAGTCACAGGCAAGAGTATGAAGAGATAACACAAAAAAAGGATCACATGAAAGAGGCAGAGTTGTGTAGTGATGAACCCTGTGAGATATGGTGATTGCATTTGCCCAATTCACACACATTTGGTAGTGATTAATTTATGGAATTACTACTACGTAGAATTTACTGATGCAAATGGAAGGTGAGCTTATTTTACGTGAAAGTTTCAATGGAGACTAGAAGTGGCTTGCCATGCATGGAACAGCAAGTCTGCTTTAAATGTACTGTGCCAATATTGGTAAATTAGTTCTGCTTACAGTAGTAACACACTAGTTGGAAATGTAGTATAGTAAAGTTATGATATTAGGCTAGACTAATGTGACTTCAATAAATATCTCCCAGTTTACTTGAATGATTCAGATTATAAAATTAAAAAAATCCCAGCATATGTTTCTACTGCACGTGATGTATTTATTACTACTACTTGTAACTTTCACACAAGTCTTTTAGTTTTTCAACGACAACTTCAATGAAAAACGATCAATTTTTTCAGGAAAGTATTTAAGTTAACAAAAGCAACTAGAAATATTTGGATTTATCTTGTTGCCTAAAATGTAGAAAATAAATAATTTTCGAGTATCTGGGGCAAAATTAATTTCTAAGTGTCCATATAATTGGCTAAGTTAAAATAAGAAAAATAATTTTCAAAACGTGAACATACTGTCGCTGAACAAATATTATAAGTAATTGAATGGAGATGACTATCTATATAAGGAACACTAGACAAAAGCTATTCTGCTTTTTTCACATTTCAATAAATGAAAAAGAAAGGACCAGGGGGGAGAAAAGTGCGAACAGAAAAGAAAAAAGTTTTTCATTTCTCGAAATAGTAAAACATTTTCCCGAACCGTCTCAGCTTATTTCATCACATCATGAGAAAGGTACATCGATCTACCTTTCTACAAGCGAGTTAACTCTCTTGATCCCAATATTATACTACTCTGACCTTTTGTCTTAATTAACTCTCTTCAGTTTAACCCAATTAAATTGGAAATTACTTCAATATGTTCAAGAATTCAGCAAAAGATATGAAAAATAAATACTACACTACTGCTCTACTGGATACATTTTGTCCCTTCGTCCCAGATATTTTGCCACTAGTCATTCTTCCATGTATACTTTTTGACTAGAGCAAACTTTTGAATAAAATTCGACGAGGATAAATTATTCATTTAAAATGACAGCTCAGAGACTAGAAAATGATAAAATTTAAGTTCCCTCCATGAATTCGAACAAAGTCGGAAGAAATCGAAGCGGAGATGAAAGTTTTAAAAAATCTGGGAGAGAGAAAATATCAGGAATTCTATATTCAATCTGTAAAAATGATACATTGTTCTGTTATTTACAATCAGCCCCCACTATATACAATTCAGGGGCAAAATAGTAAAAGAAAAACAATTAAACCCTTATGACTGGGCCTAGCCTCTAATGCAGTTTTGAGCCTGGCTCAGGTGTAAAATATGGAGGCCCAACAGAAAACACTGAAAGTTAGAAACATTTAAATGTTCCAGGATAATTAAAAAACGGAAAAGTATCAAATTTGCCCCTATACTATCGGCTATTGTTTAAAATTGTCCTTCATTATACTATTTGGTCGATTTGGTCCCTACCGTTATACTCTTGTTCAAATTTATCCAAATTAGACAGCAAGCCACGTGTCACTCCCAGACTCGATTGACCCATCCCCAATTTAAAATATCCGAACCCTCTCTTATCCGTCCCATTACCTGACCCCTAAACCTGTCACTCTCAATTAGTGTTATCGTAAAAAAAAATTCTAAAGTTGCTCAAATTCGATATACTAAATTAAACTCTCAGAAACGAAAAGTAATACTCCCTCCATTTCAATTTATGTGAACCAATTTGATTGGGTACGAAATTTAAAAAAAGAGAGAAGACTTTTGAATTTGTGGTGTAAAATGAAGCACATATATTTTATGTGACTATAAATCATTGCATAAAGGTAAATTGTTTCTAAATAGGGAAATGGGTCATTCTTTTTGGCACGGACTAAAAAGAAAATAGGATCACATAAATTGAAATGGATGGAATATTAGTTTGTAAGACGGAATACTTGGTCACAAAAACATATGGGATAAATGGAGTATATAACTTATTTCCTTTGCACTAAGTACAAGTTATTTTACGAAAATGATGTAATAATGCTTACATATTATGGGTGTTTAACGGGCGGGCTATGACGAACTGGACACACAAAAAATCAGCCCGTCCGTTTAACGTTACGGGCTGTTAACGGGCTGTACTTTTTTGGATTTTTTTTGTCCATCCGGGTTCGGGCTTAGAGGGCTGTTAGCGAGCCGTGCATTTTTTATTTTTATTTTTTAAAGTAAATTTTATTTTTCTTATTCAATGCTATTGATACTTAACTGTTTGCAAACTTTTAAGGCTTAGAATTAAACTTTGAAGTTTAAAGTTTTAAATTTGAAATTTGAATTTTATAATTTTAAAATTGAAATTTGAAAGTAAGTGATTACAAAAAATTATTTAATAAGACCAATAGGCAATATGTAAAGATCAAGCTCCGAAAACTTTCATTTGATATTTTTATTGAATAATATATAATACTTCAAATTAAGTTACAAGCTCTTTTTTGATTTTGTTATTTTTGAACTTGCAAATTAAAAGTTTACAATAATTATAAAAAAAAAAAAAATAGTACATCACATTCTTTGCATCATTTTTGTAAGCTCATCCATGTCAACATGAGGTTCTTGGTTTCCGGCATTGGTTGAATCAGAACCATAAACCATTATATCTCCAATTTCTTGGTCCTCCGCTTCATCTATCTCGTCACGCCCTTGATTTCGCCGTTCTGATCTTATCCAATCCTTGAAGCACACTAGAATTTTCAAAGCGTTGCTACAGAAGAAGGAATATTTGCATCTACAACAGAAGAAGCATCAACAATGTTAGCATAATAATTATATAATGTTTCTAAATGTTTGTATAGATCAAAAATACAAGTGTCAATATCAGGACTTTCAGTTGGTCCAATATCCATATAAGAATATAAAGCAGTGATTAATTGGCGACAAGTGGTCATTTTGATAGAAGAGTTTAAAATAGCACCAATTAGGTAAATAAGGGAAATTAGGTAGAAATAGTTTTTAAACTTATCTAGCATAGATTCAACAACATAAGTATATCCTTCTTTCTTCTTCAAATTATGTAGTAAAAGAGAAATTTCAGCAATATGAATTAAACCATTTGCAATAGTAGGATAATTTACAATATTTTAATTTGACCGTTGGCAACAGACCAAAAAAAAAGAAAGTTAAAAAACGGGCTGAACCGGGCTGTAGCCCGTTAAAAACCCGTTAACGGGTTAACGAGGTTAGCGATTTCCGGTGCACCGATATCAAAAAACTGTTTGTTTGAAACCCGCTCCTCGCCCAACCCGTCCCAACCCGCCTCCCACGCTACAGTACCGGACTGACCCGGGTTAAACCGGATTGTAAACGGGTCAGCCCGACCCGATTAACAGGTATATTATATATTGGTTGTTTCATGTTCAGCTACTAGTCAGCACTATTAACTCCAATAAAGAAATCAAATACTACAACTTGGAGTAGTAAATGCTTAATTATTAATGTGCTTCGTTAACCATATCCCAAATACGTCTATATCCAAAAATATCCTCAGAATTTGGATAAACTTTTTTACCCTTAAAATTTTAAATTAAGTCAGGATAAAATTGTAATCACCTAAACCTCCTGCATATTTGTAGGTAAAACACTCCTAATGGTAATATGCATCCGATTTCTCCTTCTCAATTTCCGTCAAACTTAAGAACCCCACTTGGACAACACCACCGTAAACTAATGTGACTTGTTATTTGTATGTATATATTCCAATTAAATTAGATATCTAATCTCCTACCTAACAAAGGCACTAAACGTAGTCCTAATCTGATATTAATTCACAAGACAATTCACATTCTTATGAAGCTAATTGAGGTTGTGCCACAACAGAACCAAAATCATCTGCTTTAATGTCTGTTGCTTCAAATCATCAATGGTCTCTTCGAAATTGAGATGTTAGTTTGTTTAATTTTCTTTCAACAGCAAAGGCCGAAAAATATTCTTAAAGAACATGTTAGACATTGCTGCAAGAAGAGGATTATCTTATGGACAACCCTCACCAGTAGACCATAATGAAGTTATATAACTACTTCAACAATGTCGGAAAAGAATGAAGATTCCAAAATACTCATGTTGAGACAGGAGGAAAATCAAGTATGAATAAATTGATATCTTGATGTGACCAATGTTCTCGATAAGGTTCTAAAGAAATCTCTTAAGTCGTTGAAGATGAGAAAAACCATGAAGCCAAAGTCTCATGCCAATAATGTGACGTAATTGATGCCAACCGATAGAGTCACTTACAAGAAAAGCTATATCGATACTTATGAAATCTTTTCTTTTTAAAGTTTTAATAATTTCCAATTTGAAAACTCTATCACATGGGAGAAGTTTTGGTTGCAGGAATCAGCTGAAGGTAGAGTAAAGAAGATGAAGAGACATTACGTGTGAGCAAATAGTGCAGTATTTTTAGATTTTAAGTTATAGATGCTCATTAAAGATTGTTCATAGAGTTAATGTTAGTCCCGCCAATATTGATGTATTTATAAATAATAATTCTGCAAAATATAAGTTATCGTAATAAAACAGTAATTAATTCGAGCCCACTGAATTCACAGTGTTTCCTTAAGGAATTTAATCCCCTCCTAGTACCCAAGGTTATGGATTATTTCCTCCCAGGATAGAACAAATAACACACTGGTATAGCGGTACTTCAAACCCCAGTGTTTCAGCGAACACAAAGTTCGGTAGCAAATCACACTTACAGTTGCTTTGTTT